TATATAGATAAATATACAAATGAATATATATATATATAAATAAATATATGAACATATTAATATATATAAATATGTATATATATAAATAAATATACAAATAAATATACAAACAATATATTAAAAAATTTAAATAATTATATAAATAAATATATAAACATATAAATATATAGAAATATATATAAATACATATACAAATAAATATATAAATAAATATACAAACAAATATACAAACAAATATATAAATAAATATATATACACAAATAAGTATATAAAAATAAATATATAAATAAATATATACATAGGCCTAAATATATATAAATGAATATACAAATATATATATAAATATAAATATATATATAAAACAAATAAATATAAAAATATATAAATAAATATATAAATATATACAGTATATATAAAATAATATATATATATAAATAGATATATAAATAAATACAGTACATATATATAAATATATCTGTATGTATGTATCTGTATCTGCATTTTAACATCTCTATCAGCGCTGCATACTTCCGGATCGACGATTCGAAAAAGTGTATATACTGCGCATGACTGGACTACACAGGCAAAGCTCCCCGGTGGGATAAAAAAGGATTTAAAGTGTATGGCTTGCATGGCTCGCGCATTGCCTCGCATGACTCGCTGGATCGCACTTTGTCACGACCCTAGAGTATTGGACATTTGCACAAGATCGTCAAAAGGTTAGGTTAGGTCAGCCAGTAGATTGATCAAACAAGATCAGTGAATATCTGGATTCCTACTGCCTGCTTTGTGCTGGCAACAAAGGAATGCAGTTACATGGAAATTTTTATTTTTTTTTTTGGACAATGTTTGGACTCTTTTCTCATGGTTCCAAGAAAAAATGTCTCTATATTCATACCATAGTCTCACAAACAAAACAGTACATTAGGCCCTATAAACAATATTATTATTATTATTTTAAATGTAATGTTTTCAAATGTAATTTTTTTAACACTAACTACAAAATATAAAGAACAAAATATTTGAGGCTGAGTATGGTTGAAATGTCAAGATGAGGTTTGAAAAACTAGAAAAACCAACTAATCATATCTGTATTATTTGCAGTAGTACCTCTTAATGCAGTACAGTTCGAATCCTGCCAGAGACACTATTTTTTTTTATATAACTTTTCGTGGTAGGGGCTATGCTTGATACGATTATGACATTACATGATGTTTCTATTTGAGCACTTATTATTATTGGTGATCCGCTTTACGAGCGGATCACCTCTTGTTACTGTCAGAGATCATTGGTGATCCGCTTCACGAGCATCGTGATCACGTCATCATATTGCCGTCTGAATTCAATAAATGCGTATTTTATCTACAACGTCATTTTCTACAATACGCATTTGAGCGTATCTCGCTTATCCTTGATCGATCGTCTCCCAAATTCAAGTTCAAGTTCAATTTATTGTCATATACAAAGTAAATGAAATTTGTTTTCCAAGGTTCACAATAAAAACACAGACATACTATACAATACAAAGGATACGATATAAAATAAGTTAACCTATGCGTAAAATGATATAAAATTATAAATATAGTTATAGTTATAGCTGAGACAATTCTCTTTCAGAAGTGTGCCCTTCATTTTTTTCATTCTGATGACGTCATCATCTTTCTTTAAATCTGTGCGACTGAGGGCGGCAGATGTATTTCGATGCTATCAGACTGATATTTATATACTGTAGTTCATGAAGGGGGAATTTGTGTGGCATTACCGACCTGTGAAATTCGAGCCAGATGGCGGCAGGCTGTATTTCGTCGCAATTAGACCAGTGGCGGCGCCAGCGGGGGTGGGGGAGTAAACAGCATGGGCTTGAGCCCCCCATGGGGCCCCACCCCATCGGACAGGTCAAGCCCCCGCATCGGTCAGAGCTCGTCAGGCAGTCGGACTTAAAAAATATAAAAATAGGCCCCGCCAAGCCAACATGCCTGTCACAGTCTGAGAATGTCATTTCTGGCCATCCAGAGTTTCCTCTCCTTTAAAAAATCTCATTGAGGGAGGGGAACACCTGCTAAAACCCTTCCCCAGCTCGGGCCTACGAGCTCAAGTCCTTTAGGGGGCTTAAGCTTGAATGCTTGAGGAGGGGGAGGGTTTGACAGGGGATGTCCCCCTCACAAATGAGTTTATTTTTTTATAGGGACCTGGATGGCCGGAAATATTTTGGCTTGGTGTAACCCATTTTTATTTTATTTTTTTTGTCCAACTGCCTGACGAGCTTGGCCGGTGGGGGACTTAAGCCCCCTTGTCCCCCGCTGGTGCCCCCACTGTGTTGATGTCCAGCATCATTCAGCATCCTTATATACAGTATTAGCAACATGTTCCTTCATTTGTGGGTGGGGTGGAGGGGAGGAGGGGAATGCTACAGCAATCTCTTCTTTTTTTAAACTACTGTATTTCACTTGGCCACTTCCTTCAGTTTGATGGAAGTTTGTGATGACCACAATATTGTTTTGATGTTTCAGTTTTTACTTATTTCTTGTGATAAAAAAAACCAGAATAATATAATGAAGTTAGATAATCAGATACTCTATTGTTTTTCTATCATTATTTTTTTTTTATTTGTACTGTAGCTGGATTAACTAGTACTGATGATAATCTCCACACCCATGGACACGGCCACACACACGCGCATGGGCACACACATGAACACATGGAAACTCCTGGAAGATTCCTTGATCGGGACTTGCCAATCAAACGAACGGATTTAAAAGAGGTAAGTGGTAATGTAAGAGTATGAAAAGTATATAAAACAATATAATTTTACACAAAATATATAAAATTAGCATGGGAAATCATTGACAAATTTTCCTATCAATAAGTTCTAGTAGGCTGCATTACACTTTCAAGAACCAGCACAATTTTGCCAATTTCAGGCTCAAAATGTTCATATTTTTTCTTATGTTATACAGTTTTCAAATACAGAAAAATATTATTCTACAGCAATAATTTTGTACCATAGAGAAAATAGAATACTGGTGTATTTCTAGATTTTTAAATGAAAAAACCTTATTTGAAACTTCTCCGAGGAGCCTCAATTCTAATTTTTTTTTTTCACATTTTTAAGCAATTTCGGCCTCAATGTTCTTATAAATTGTGTTCTTATAATTAAAAAAATGTATTTAACATCTAGTATTATGTGTCTTTACTGCACAGAAAATAAAGGCTATTTTTGTCATTCATTCTTATGTCCGAGTAAAACTTTATTTTCATCCAGCACCAAATAATGTTGTACAGTATGTCATACTATACATGGCTCTGATTCAAGAGTGGGCATTAAAATAAGTAGAAAGGAGATTTTTTATTTAACATGGAGGGCTGCAAGCAAAATTAGACAATCTATAGAGACATTTGATGTTTTTATTGCGGTTGTAAAAGAACCTTTATGCAGTGGCGTACCTAAGACTGTGCTGGGGGCGCACTGTACATGGTTTGTATATTTCTTTAGAATATTTATACATAGTTCCTGAATAAATTTAGTTATGCTAATAATACAAAGTGGTGATGTGTCCTGAATTTATATGACCCTTTTATAAAAAAAAAAATTGCATAATCTTAACAGGGAGAGGATTTTAAGCCCTCAACAATGTCATTTTTGTTATGAACAATTATTATGACACAAATGTGAGATACATTGACCTACAGGCATTTTTTTTTCAAAGTTTCATATCAGGTTTATTGTGGCACAGTTATGTAATATTCTATAATTCACAACTGTTTTTTGTTAAAATAAATTTCAAGTTTTTAAAAAATTAGATTAAAATATTTTCAGTCAAAAATCACTTAAATAGATTTTTTTTTTCTTGTCTTGTTCGTGTTAGCCAGCATTTTACAAATTTTCCCTACACATTTCTGTTACAGAGAGCATTTACAGTCGGAATAGGTGGTCCTGTTGGCTCAGGAAAAACTGCCTTGGTACTGGCACTTTGTAATTATTTACGTGACAAATATAGCATTTGCGTTGTCACCAATGATATATTCACAAAAGAAGACTGGGAATTTCTTGTACGGAATAAAGCTCTACCAGAGGAGCGGTTGAGGGCAGTAGAAACTGGAGGCTGCCCACATGCAGCTATACGAGAAGTAAGCCATTAAGACGTTAATATTATTGTTGTTAACAATTTTTTTAATAGTGTAGTGTTACTTTTGGCATTATATAACTCATTGTGTTACTAGGCGAGTTGATTGGCCGAGCAGTTAACTCTTGGGCACCGTAACCTTCAGGTTTAATATCGGCGCTGGTTCAAACGGCTTTACTGGCCAGTGGTGGAACAAGTCTTCTCGGATAAGGACTTAAACGTAGACCCAGTGTACGCATTTGGCCCGTGTGCACTTTAAAGAACCCAGTACATCCCTCGAGAAGAGTAGGGGGTTACCCCGGTGTACTGGTCCATTCAGTCCCATAATGGTATGCCATGTAGGAGTGATTAAGTTCACTGATTGGCATATCCTTGGCGCTTGTGCCTAAATAAATGAAATGAAATATCAAGTTGTAAATATATACTTGTAGGCAACACGTGCTTGTTTTTTTTGCAAATGTGGTTTTTGGTCAAATATTTCGTCATTAACAGGAGGATTAAAAAAAAACACACAAGAATGTCAATTTAAACCACTTTCTAATTTACATTTTTAGGACTATTCTGTAAACATGGAAGTAATCAAGGACTTGACTAAGAGCTATGATCCAGAAATTGTCATTGTTGAGTCAGGAGGAGACAACCTAGCTGCAAACTTCAGCCGGGAACTCGCAGACTATATAATTTATGTCATTGATGTAGCTGGTTAGTGATATTTTTAACAACTTATACTTTTCTGTCTGTAGTTTGATATAGGAAGCTTTTGATCACACAACGTGGTAAGACGTAGAACGTGTGCATACAAGAATGTTAAGTTCTCCTCTTTGAATGGATGCAATTTGACCAAATCTACATTGGTAGGATGGTCACGGATGAGTGAATCTGTTTTAGCATCACGTTGTCGCACAAATCGGAAGCTCCCTAGTGCAGAGCTTCATCAATCATTATGTAATCATTACTACCACCACTTTCATTATTATCATCATCATCATCATATACCACATTTATATTCTTGTACTCTTTACTACTTTTTCATTTAGATATTATTGTCTTTAACAGGAGGGGACAAAGTTCCTAGAAAGGGTGGACCAGGCATTACACAAAGTGACCTTTTGATTATCAATAAGACAGACTTGGCAGAGGCTGTAGGAGCTGACTTAGAGGTAAGCTCAGGTTGATAAAAAGAGAGAAAAATAATCAGTGCCATAGTGCTGGGAACGGAGGCCTAATAGCTTCTTGGTGCCTTTGCGAGTAAGCAGCACTATTGCTGGGCTGGAAGTGTGGTCAGGGGTTGCTCAGGGGTCTAGAGATTTAAAAGGTTTATTTAATTTAACTATCTGTAAAAAATACATGCCATTTTTTTCTCTAATGATGAAATTTTATGTTGTTTTCTCCCAGACAAGCACCCACCAGACTGGTGCCACCCCTATGTTAGATTCTGATTATGAGTTACCTTTTTCTTTTAGGTGATGAAGAGAGATTCAGACTTAATGCGCGAGAATGGGCCAACGATATTTGCGCAAGCAAAAAACATGGTTGCGGTCCCGGAAATTGCTGATCTAGTTGTTAATGCCTTTCGCCAGGCCCAGAAGAGTTGCGATGTCGCTGTTCAAGCCAAGTCAATTTTTTAGGCTTTTAATGCATCCAATATATTTTTCAGAAATATGCACCAAATACAGTAAATCAATTACAAAATTTATATGTTACGTGTTTTATTTTTGTACCCAAGACCTTCCAATACTGTTCAGATACTATTTAAAATTTTTTTTCTCTTTTCATTCCACATACCATTACATCTGTCTATGGTTATTATACTAAAATTATGTATATAAATAATATAAAATATATATAAAATAATAAATATATAAAATAAATATATATTTATAAATATATGAATATACCAATAATTCCATGAAATACATTATTGCAGCCATTTCAACCTGAGTGCATTTAAAAGGCAAGTTTGACATTTTAGTTCATACTCGTTCATCTTATTCTTTTTCATAATGATAGCCTAAGTGAATTTATATGATTTTAACCTTTTTTTTTTTTATCATTTCATGTCTTTTTACCCCTTTTTAGATTTTGTGATATTTTTGTATTTTAACCTGGTAGATTGATTATACTAAACATTTTTAAGGAATTAAATTATATGCATTATTGTCGATGGTAATTTGAATTGATCGTCATTAAAAATGATTCGCTGCGTGTGCGTTGTGGTGTCCTCCATAGAATCAAGTTGGCTGACGTCCATCAGACGCAGTGAGCGCCCGGCTTTGAACGAGTAACGAATTATAAATATATATATATATATATATATATATATATATATATATACTGTTATACTAAAATTATGTATATAAATAATATAAAATATATATAAAATAATAAATATATAAAATAAATATATAAATATATATTTATAAATACCAGCCGTCCGCCAATAACGATGATTTCAAATAAAATTAAGATTTTATTTTTGCCTAATTAGCACACACGCTGCCACAAAAAAATGGAAAATTCAGAAAAAATAAAAGTTTTTCTTTATTTTATTACGTCTGTCGCTGCCTTAAAATCTCCAAAAATAAGATTTAACCATCCCGTTACTGATAAGCAATTTTTTTTTTTTTCCACCCACCTCTGATGATCTTTAAAAAAATCAGTTTCGCAAAAAAGAATGTCTTGCTTAGGTGTAAAAAAAAACAAAGAGCTTTAGCTGGATGGACGACCCTCACAGAACAACTTTTTAAAATAAATAAATAAAAAATAATATGTGTAACAAATAAAAAAATAAAAACATATTTGTAATACCGGTAACAATATTAACAAAAATAATTCTGATATTAACACACACTTATATATATTTTTAATATCCATTACATAGATAATAGATATTATAAAAATGGAAAACAGTAGAACCAATACAACATAATTTATGTAACTATATGAAAGTAATATTTGTAATAAATATAAAAATGGTAAAAAAAGTAATATTAATAATTCTGATAATACCCACATACATATGTGCTTGAAATTCATTCTTATCTCATTTGCATACATCATGGCTGTTATAAAAGAGGAAAAGAGTATATAGACAGTAAAATGATTATAACAAACTGAAAATAATATTTGTAATAAATACATAAATAACTGAAACACTCGTAATGATATTATTGATAATATTAATGTTCCTATTAATGTACGTCTACATACACACCAGACGTCATAACTCATTCCATCGATATAAATCATGGTTGATATCAATAAGAAAAACACTAGATACGTAACAAAAACAGAAGAGGGAGTGAGGGTTAATACTACAGATATGAATGTGATGAATAATAAAAACAATGATATTTGTTCTACTGCTATGACGGTACCATTAATACTATAATATATTGGATTGGTATTAAGCAGACTCATAATTGTCTGTATGAATGGCCAGGGGTTAGGGTTAGATGATTGTTGGGTGCTACTAATGTGTGGTGTCTGATTGGCACTAAGCGCAATTCTAATTGACTGAATGAAAGGCCAAGGGTTATAAGGGTTTGGGGATTGCTGCTATTATGCGATGTTTGATTGACGCTGGTCACACTTCTGCTTGACTGGGTGGTAGGTAATGGAGTACTAGGGTTTCTTGACAGTTGGTTGCTTGGTTGATTGGCAACAGGTACACTGCTTGTTACTTGCCGAATAGGTCGTGGGTTATAAGGGTCTGACGATTGTTGGTTGCTACTACTAGTAGATATTTGATTGGCACCAAGTGCACTTCTTGACTGTCTGGTAGGCCGTGGGTTATAAGTGTTTGAGGATCGTCGGTTGCTACTATTATAAGCTCTCAGAATAGCGCCACATACTCCGCCTACAAAAGACCTTAAGAATTGTTGGTTGCTACTACTATAAGATACTTGATTGGCACTAGAGGTTGAATATGTGATCAGGTATTCCGGATATACTTGATGGTTATCAAATATCACAAAGATGTTTGGATTACTTATGTTGTCGACGCAAGTATCATACATTCCTTTTGTCCTATCCAAGAGATCTTTATACGGCGGTCTCCGCATGTCCCGTGTTCCAAGGGTGTAAACACCCACAAGAGCTCGTGCTACAAACATCTTCTTCATGTTGCATATATTGGCCTCCGCATAGTCATTAGAATACTTGGCTTTGCGCGCAAAATACGCACCTTGGCCATAAGCAGCACCATGTCGTGTTCCACTCAGACGGAAATCAAAACCATCTCGGCAAATATCTTCAACGTTTTCTTCTTTAGTACCGTGAAAAAGTTGACGCTCATCAAAGCAATTCTTGTTGATCATTACTTCTTTTTGCCTTTTTGACAAATGAAATATAAAATATTCTTATTACAAGCCTATCGACAATAATATCAGATCATGGGACTCAAATCATTGAAACTTCTGATGATTTTATACCATGTTGATATTGAGCCTTTGTGATAAAGCTGTTTGGTAAGAGATAATCATACATTAAAATACTGTAGTGAGTAGATAATATGCTGAGCAGATATAAGTTTATTAAAATAAACAATTAAAACTGGAGTAATTAAAATGATGAGTAATTTATATACCGGTAATAACAAGCAAACATAATGACGAAAAATTTTAATGATGAGCCATTAAAATGAGAAATGGGGTAGTGTTGTATACTTTAGTACAGAGAAGCTGCAATACCTTTACTCATCACTTCTTTGGCAATAAGTCAATTCCAATAAATGACCCATCATTTTGAAGCTTAGAATGTAGAGAATAAGAATATATGGTATTAAAAGGTCAAAGTTCACTATTTGGACACTAATGCTAGTTTTGGGCCCAGGAATGCAAGCCTCATATGATGAGTAATATAATAATAAATAATAATAATAATAATAATAATAATAACAATAATAATAACAATAATAATAATAATCATAATAATAATCATAAAAATAATAATAAATACTTTATTTCAACATGGACAACTTGATTCACCCAGGGGTGTTTTTCATCAAGGCTATGCTTATAGAACATGAAAGAGTCACTAAGAAACTGTAGGTAGCGGTAGCTTTTGCTACGAAGGAATGGGAATTTTTAACTAATCAATGCGCAAGCGCAGTTACCAAAGAACGTCCATGAAATATGTATAAAAAACACAGTGGGCATGCGCTTGGAAAGGCTAGACAGCCAGTGAGCACTGAATAAGTGACATCGAGACATGTCGAGCATGTGCAGTTATCAAAAAAGACGTATGGGAACCGAAACAACGTCTGCGAAGAAGGCATGAAATAAAAATGGGAAAAATTCATTTTTAATGCAAAATTAAGCATGTGCAACTCAAGCTAATGCTATTATGCATGGCAAGGAAAATTGAAAATACCTGTAATTCCGGTCAAAAAGCCTTGGCTATCGAAGGCCTGCAGTGCATCATATAATCGTCAGGGAGAGTTGTAATTAAATTATCGCAAACAACAGTTTATTTGGCTCTATCGTATGTACGTATGCATTGAAAATCCAATAAAAAATAACCACAGAAACTGACAACACAACCTAGGCTAGGCCTATCTGGGTATCTACTAATAACCAAGTGGTAGGGGCAAGCCTAGGCTGAGTCGCATTGTCTCGAAAGGTACGGTGCTGTACGCTGAAGAAGGATAGCGTACATAATGCTCTTTGTCGTATGCATATCCATTATTGACAATCTAAAGCTGAAGCAAAAAAATCGGCTATTATTTTATCTATAACACATCCAACCCAGCCAGCAGAATAATACACATAATAAAATATTTTTTAAAAATTGAATACAAATAAATAATATAAAATATTTAAAAATAATAATATCATTAATAATAATAATAATAATATTTCTAATGTAGCGAACTGTTTAGTATGTTTTTTTTTTATTATTTTAATCCTGTCACCAGCAATGTAAATAATTTCGTGGCTATTGTTACACCAGCTGAAAACCAATTCTACCTGTAGGCTATTATTTTTATGTTTATGTGTTATATCATAAAAGAAATGCATTGAAGATGATGTAGGTCATTCTCAATTATTGTTAAATTTTAACCCTGACAATAAATAATAAAAGAGAAGAATAATAACTGATTTGCAATAAAAAAAAAAAAAATTCAGTAGTGTTTGTGTGATTGCCATAAAAAAAGAAACACATTTTACCGTGCATATGTGGCCCAACAATTATAATTTTGAACCCGCTCAAGTTTTGTGATATTTCCTTCTGGAAATGTCATGTTGAACAATTTCTGTACTTTCTTATATTCCCCCTGATGACGATGCTTTGAGACTTCTACAAGTCTGTGTGATGTTGTTTGAATGCTCGTATCCCAGTTACTTGGATATCTACAGGTATTGTTAAACCCAACCTGCCTGGATAAAATGGAAGAGTAAACAAGTGTAATACAAAATACAAGATTGGTTTATTATCATTGTGTACCACTCTGTTCACCTGAAATTCGGGTTCCAATGCTCTCATAGAAAAAAAAAAGCACAATTATAAAACAAAAGTTAAATACATGCAGGGTCAATGGTCTGCAACAGCTGGGCCTGGAAGCTGACCCACCCACTGACGCCAACTCTGTATCAACATCATCAAACATTATCATTAATACCACCAAAAAGTATATTAAGAATCAAGAATACTTTATTGTCATTGACCAAACAAGTGAACAATGAAATTTATTTTCCTAGGTGCCTTAAACACTAAAAATGACATATAAACTTTGGTTAAACACAGAATATTAAAACATGGACCTAATAATGATTAAAATATAAAACATTAAAACTAAAGATATGATATATATATATATATATATATATATATATATATAATTATTTATTAATTGTGTGTTTTATATCTATATAGTATATATATTTGCAGGTTTTCAAATTGAAAATAAATTTTGTTTAAATAAATAAAAATGTACCTCCTATAAATTTCATCTGCCCACGTATGACAGTCCTCGTTAGTCTGGCTCATAGTGGCAATGTTCTGAGTTACTGTAAGAATAAAGTGGGGAAAAAAAGACTGTACTGTATAGGTTTATGGCCCTACACCACATGTACAGAATTACACATGCAAATTAAAACACATTTTATTCTCAGACGCTGCTTCAGTATCCTTAATTACGCAATGTCAACTTAAAATTAAAGCAGCCCTTTACATTATTGCTTGGGAAAATCCTTCCCTTAAAACAACTCATTACAATATTACCCCCGAAGATCACCCTTTAATTTTATTCAAATTCTCCATAAAAACATAACTTACCACAGTTACACAACAGTTAACAACTATTACTTTGGCGATTTGCAATCATCTGCCGGTGGCTGAGTAAAGGCGGTAGCAACTCAGCACAATTGCCTTATGATACGTATTGTTTATCAGATTAATTACTGCATTCGTAGTAATGTACAGTAGCTAAAGTTGATATATTAGAAAAATCATTATGTTTCGTCGCATAAAATGTGTATTTTAGGAGGAAAGCCAACTTAACGCTATTTCCCATCTTCCTTCGATCGTAATGTTTACGCCGAGAAATGACGTCAGAAGGCCGTAAGTTAAGTACGATACACCGATGACGTTCTTTTACTACAGAAATATTTGAAAATTAATAAACTTAGTATTAACTAAATTTATTGCAATGTATTACCATACTTTTTAAAATATCGTAGGCCTAATACTATAATTTATCCAAATCAATTAAAACTAACCAAACTTGCATCAGAAATGTAAATAATGTGAGTTTGAAAATTTGTAAAAGTGGCCTACCATGCATTACTCATGTAAACCACGCCCTCAGCTTTTGTTACAATTACGTCATTCTTATTGTGTTTTTCCAGCTTCAATCAATTTTATACAGATATTAATACACTTATAATAATAATATATGTATAATACATACTCCAACTATCGAAATGCACGCCATCGTGTCAGGATTCAATATTTCGACATTCATTATGTCATCATCAGGATTGATTTTTTTGTTTTTGTTTTTTCATTCCTGATGATGTCGAAATATTGAATCCCGACACGATGGTGCATTTCGATACTTGTATAGCATGTATAGGGCCTAGGCCTACTATCTTATCTGAGATTAATCAGTGGGCCTTTCGGGGTTTCTTTTTTGCACTAATTTATAACAGCTACACAGAGCCATCAATTAGATGCAACGTTTAATATGATCACTGATTCTCTCATAAATACACCGTAAACTACCATCATTCTATTAGTTATTACCAATGCCGGCGCTACGGTAGAAAATGGGGCATTTCTTCTCCCCGGAAAAATAAATAAGAATTATTAAACGTAGGCCTATACATTCATGCAGTATCATTCATGTGTTTTCCCCACGAGAATTGTAAATACAGCTGACCTTTTATCGATGAAAGCCTTGGTAATTAATCGCTTCTAATTCTTTTTCTTTCATGATTTGTCTACTCTTAGAGTTTATGTTTACAATGTATCAAAGAGTAAAAAAAAATTCTTTACGTTATTAATTAATGATTATAAAAGTCTTGGACCCTGGACATCGTCAATATCCTAGTTAGAAAATATACGAATAGACCTGACAGAGATTCGATTGTAGAATAAATTACTGAATTAATATTAAACCACAGGCCCGTATGCAGGATTTTTATTGGGTGGGTGAGAATTTGAGTGTGGACCGAAATGGCTGTGGGTCGCAGATTCCTGCTGGGGTCGAGTGGGCGGAGCCCCCTCGCACTCAGACATTTTTTTGATAATTTGAGGTCTTAATTATTTGATTCATTTGATGCAATGATCAACAGTATTAAACGGTTTTTCAGTAACAGCTTCTTGAGAAATGAGGGGTGGAGGGAGCTAGGGAGGGATTTTCACAGATGGAGGATTCATATACCACCTCAGCCCCACTATGGTTGGAAAAAGATGGCCGGAAATTTCATTCTAAACGCCAGCCGGGCACTCACGACGGTCGTCGGCCGACGCGAATCTATATGAAAACGCAACACGACGACGCGCGCGCAACGGATCATTTTTAATGACGGTCCGTCAGACTGCTACACCGACAGTCAGACGGCGTTGCGTCGTCTTACTCACAGGAAGCGGAGTTGGATTCGTCGTGCGACCGTCGTACGACGCAATAGCCTCGTTCACATCGAACTATGTCGACTAGATTATTTACTTGATGTCGACAATAGTTTCGACGTGAACGGTCAATTACGGCGAGATAAAGTTCATAACTCGACGATGGCTGTTAGCTCGACTAACTTGTAAATCCAGTCATCGTCGAGTTGATAACGCACCACGGGTGGCCTCAGGTCACGTATACAACCGCCGCTCTCGTGAGCGTAGTTGGTCCAGCAAGGTATCTCGACATAATTCGGACCATCGAACGCAATTAGGAGTGTAGCGGTGTTCAATAGTTTATCTACTTATGTCGACAATAACCGATGTGAACCAAGCAAATGAGTGCCTGGCATTAAGACTCAAGATTCGTAAGTAAGGATCGAGGTCGAGTAAAATAAATTTCTATATTGGACATAGCCTATATGTTTAAAGCATAATTAAATAAAACATTGTTAGATTTACGTAAAAGAAATAATGTAGGCCTATACCGCACAATGAAAACAAGACCATAATATTATTGGGCATTGAAAATAATAAATTTACCATAAAGGCAATGCTGTAGCCAGCTATTGGGACAGGGACAGTCCCACACAATTTTTCTATTGGGTCCACAAAGAATGGGTTCACAGTTTAAAAATGGGTCTAGATTTTCCTATTTTGTGTGAAATGGGTCAACTTTTAAGAAAATGGGTCCAGATTTATCATATTTTGCGTAAAATTGGAAAATTTTTAAGAAAATGGGTCCTGCAGATTATACATATTTTTGTGTAAATGGGGCAAATTTTAAGAAAATGGGTCCACATTATTTGAATTTACGCGTGAAATGGTTCCACTCTGATATTATCCCATACCGGCACTGTTTGAAAATCCTGGCTACAGGCAGGCCCGTACGCGGGGTGGGGTGTGGTGGGGGGGGGGGTGCGCATTTCCCGGCGTAGAAAATTAAAGACACCCTCACATGCTCCAAAATTCCATCCACCAAAAATGCTTGACCAATCAGAGCAGTTTCCAACTAGGACTGCCTCTAATTTGTCGTAGGCAAGGCCTTCTAATTGTAGGCCTACTTAAGTCTGCGAGTGCCATTTGCTGCCATCTAGAGGTGCCATAATCACAAGTTTTCTTTTCCTCAAACCCCAACCACGGTGGGGTCGGCTGAGGTGGGTGGATCCTGGCCAATATTTCTGTGAACGTCCTTCCCTGGACCTCCTCTATTTCGAATTCCTGAATCCGCCACGGCCCCATACAGTATGTTAAAGTCCCTATCTGGCCAAGAAGAGTGTGGACGTATTCGCTTAAAAACAACAACAAAGTGATTTATTGCTTTCCTTACCCTGTTCCCAATCAGATCAGTAAAGGCTTATTTTATGAATTCTCGATTTTTTATACTTTTGACGCCTACCCATCTTATCCACGACGTAAAGCGCTTGTCATTATTTGTTCATATTCGCAATTTCCATTAATTTCATTTACTTGTAATATAACATTTACATTTGTGGTGAACATTTAGTGTTTTCAATACCCAATAATATTATAGGTTTTTAAATTGTGCGCTAGACCTACATTTATTTCTTTTATGTTAAAATTTATTAATGTTTTATTTACCTTGTTCTATAATTTTACATAGTCTGTTGTCATATGCAGTGAAAATCTGAAACTCCATGGTTGGAAGCGGCACGTTTCACATCTAGGCTATGAGTGTCCAATTTGTAGGGATTTAGTTTACTCCGACCTCGATTTATTTACGATTTTTAAAATTTTAATCATAATAATGAACGTTAACCCGTAGTATAGTTAATGACATTTCCGCGTGTTTTTAATTATATTGATTTAATTTTGTATAGATCAGTTTCCATAACATATCAAATTTGATAGTTAGGCCATTAACATTTTAGATATACTACATAATAGAAGAACACAGAATACGGTAGTATTGCTCTCAAAACCAGCGGCGGATTGTTTTTAGCGGCCACCCCCCCCCCCCCCCCCCCCCCCCCCCCCCCCCAACATTTTGGTCAACTTTCCACAAATTCGCACCCACCCAATAAAAATCCTGCGTATGGGCCTGGTTACAGCATTGCATAAAGGTAAATGTTACATGAATAAATGTAATTAATGAAAACTGCGAATACTTACATGCGCTTTACGACGTGGATGAGATGGGTAGACGCCAAAAATATATCAAATCGAGAATGCATAAGTCTCTACTGATCTTATTGCGAACAGGTAGGGAAAAAAATAAACCATTTGTTGTTTGCACATTGCAACTTGCAGTGGTGGATGTAGGAATTCAGAATAGAGGAGGCCAGGGAAGGACTTTCACTGATGGGAGTCAATAACACCTCAGCCCCACCATGGTTAGGGATGCGGTAACAACATTTATGATTATGACACCTCTAAATGCCCGGAAATGGCACTCTCAGATTTAAACGAGAATAAAGACAATTTTAGTGAAATCTAGAAAGAAGATGAGTTGTAAGCGGTAAGCCAACGACACTCAGGCGTGAGGGGAAAACACTAAAATTCTTCAAAAATCTTATAAATACAGTTAAAAGTCCCTGCTTGTAACATAAACTAATTCCTCCATGCTTGTACGACGAATTGTAGAGAGGCAGATGTTAATAGTTGAAAACTGCTCTGATTAGTCAAGGAGTTTTGGTGGATCGATTTCTGGAACGTGTGAGTGTCTTGAATTTTTTACCAATGAAAATGAAATCCTTCGGTAATTTGGGTGTCGCAACACGTCGCACCCCCCCCCCCCCACTTCGCATACGGGTCTGAACCAGTGGTGGATTTAAGCAGGCCCAGCCCCCACCCCCTAAATTTGTCAAAATTTAACAAAAATTGAGAAAGAATTAAGAATTCTACTCAAACCGTGAAGTCTAGGAATGCCATTTCCGGCCGTCCAGATGTGCCATAATCATAAATTTTCTTACCCCAGCCCCAACCATGGTGGGCTGAGGTAGATAGTCAGACGGCACATCTGCGAAAGTCCTTTTGGGCCCCCTCTATTTCAATTTCCTGCATCCGCCACTGGATCAGTACGTTTGAATAAAAAGAAGGAAAGCTTTCAAGGGTGTCGATCCGTGGTTGAATGTGGGGTGGGGGGACGAAATGAAAAATAAAGCCTTGGCCGTACGTTCAAGCCTTGGTCGGGGCCCAGGGGGCGAAGCCCCCGGAAGCTCTGGCGCCTATAGCCTTTCAATTGATTTTAAGCAATGCAATTAACATTTATTTCCATACGAAATTTTCAAAGTATCCAGTGGCAGATCCAGTGATTTGAAATAGAGCTGGGCCCAAAGAGGGACTTTTACAGATGGAGAGAGTAGACCACATCAGCCCCACCATGGTTGGGGATGAGGTAAGAAAATTTATGATTATGGCACCTCTATTGGTCGGAAATGGCACTCTCA